GGGGGGGGCAGTCACCTCAGCGGCAAACAGACGTTGATCTCTTCTGATACTGCTTTAGATTTGTGTATTTCACATGTCTGTCACATCTTGGAAAATATTAAAATATTTTAGTGCGAGGGAAGTGTCTCACTAACATAGGGTGAGAGTGGCTTCAGGTATGGGCCTTCAAACCAGAGGAATTTCCCCATAACTGACGAGAGGGGGTGGTTGTATTAGTATTTAAGTTCACATGGTTGGTTTGGGCTTTTTTTCCCCCCAAGTCCTCGCTCTCTTCTCTTTAATTTCCCCAAATGATTCATTAAAGTCAATGCTTTGTTACATTGAAATATTACCAACTTTAGCTTCTGCTGACTTAGTTTCCACCATAAACTAACAGTCATTTAAATATGATTTAAATAATAAATGGTAGGTTGTCAAAAACGTGGAGTAATAATACCCAAAATAATACCCCAAAAGGCTTCCCCATTTCCGGAACCCGCCTCTAACATTAGCACATGGCTCTTTGAATTTGGAGGTGTCGAACAAACCCCAAAACCCACACAGACTCTGCCCTACCTGACTGCCAGCAGCCTAATTCGTAACAGACTGCCTAACAGAAGGGAGAGAGCGAAGTTATATCCTTGCTTGTCCTTTTTGAATCAAGTTCTGACTTTGCACCCAGCAAAGTGCTTGGAAAATTACAGCTACTGCCGGAGAAACACTATCTCGTTCAGCCAGCGAGTAAGAGTTGCTGAAGACAACAGATGGGATTTCACAAGGGAGATCAACAGTTGTTCCCTCCCAGCACGCTCCTCGAGAAAGCTACCTCCTCTCTGTGGGATCAAAGGCAATCACCCACACAGAAATGTGGAAGTAGTTTGGCTCCAATGGCAGGGAAAAATAGAGATTAGTACTTGGTTTAACTGCCATCACAGGGTTTTAAAAGTTCGTGATTGTTCGGCGAAACATAGTATTTTCTTTTTGTGGGAAAATTCTGTGCTTCAGCGGGCGTAGGGCTTCTCTTGCAGGAGGGTGGTCCCGCTCAAATTACTGTGCAGCGTCACGAACGCACTCGGGTACTGGCAGGACTGGAACCTGATTACAAACCACCCCGGGGGAGAGCCGGCCGGTGCCTGTGCCAAGCCTCTGCTTTGACATCCTGCCAGCGTTGCCTTGGCGGAGCGTAGGCAGAGGCACGCTCTGCAAACAGCTCTGCCCCAGTGACTTGGTCAAAGTCGCATAGAAAATCCTTGGCAGAGCTGTGAATAGAAGGAGGTGATGGTGTCCCACGGAAGAGAAGAAGGAAGCCTCAGTTAGGCAGAATACCCCCTTCTCCTGAATCCTGAAGCCGCAGGCTTGTTTGGTAACAGGGTTATACTTCACCTGGCAAGGTCAGGCTCTTCGGTGCATGTTCCTTTTAAAATGGATCCGTCTAAAGTTCCCTGCAAACAACAGATTGTTTCTGTGATTAATTAAGGGAACATCTGCAGTGCATCAAGGGTAGCCTTGTGTATACCACGGTGCATTTTTACTGACGGCAAGCCTTAAATGTTATATACAGTTTCTGTTGCTCTAATACAAGCATAACAACTTTGTGGTTCACTCAGATTTATGCCTACTTCACACAAAGGCTCCTATTTAGAAACTTGACATAACTCCTGGTAAGGAAGCTGCTTAGAATGTTAATTGATTAATAGAAATAATTCCTAAATTTCAGTGCTAATTTGCAACAATAATTGCATCCCCATATTGTGGCTGATAATATGAACCAGCCTACTGTCTGGCAATAGATAATACCTCAGTTGTCCTTCACAGGGTATCAATGCTGCTCTCTTCTGGGCAGATTATATCATGCTGCTTTTAAAGGCATGCAAAGAAACCAGTGCATAAACCCTCGAATCTGAAAACTGCATGTGCTTGGTGTTGTGATCAGCAGAAAAGGATACGATTTACTTCTGAGCCTTTAATTCTGAAGGAGTTGGTGGCAGTGGCAGAGTGCAGGAGGGCAGACTTAGGTGACGTTCAGACCGTTGAAGCTCACAGCCTTCCTACCTACCACCTGGCACAAAGGAAATGTACCTTATGTAACTTTTTTTTTTCCCCCTTTTGCATCTGAACCTTATCCCTGAAGTTTTTACATTATGGTGAACGTGTTTGGTAGAAATTCCCATCCTGCTGCTGCCAGAGTAAGTCCTTAAAATAGTGACTTCCCTTTAAGGGTAGGCATTTAGATGTGTTCCCTGCAAAGGCAGATGAAGACAGCAGGCAAGTGTTTCACAGGCTGAGGCATTCAAAGCTTTGCTTGTCTTATACCATGTATTTTAGTGAGGAAGGCTTCCCTGCTTGTGTTTGCAGAGCAGTTGTTGTTAAATAACAATAGCAGCAAAATTTTCAGCCTTGTCAGGAATTAGTCTGGGATGGCTTTAGGCTTCCCAGAACTGTGAAATGTGCTCTACGCCACATGTGCTTGGCGTACCGGCAGCGCTGAAACATGGTGTAGCTCCTCACATACCGCCCCCAAGCCTGTTGTTACTTTTAGGCCAGAACTGGGGAAGGAGCATCAGGAGAAAACCTTTGATAACATCTGTGCCTGGAAGTATTTTCTCGGCTGCCTGTGGGGGCCATAAGGATTCTTTATCCGTCCAAGAATGGAAGAAATATTTTTATTATTTTGTGTATCATAAATGTGTCATTTTTCTTGCCCAAGGTTCTTTTCGCTGGCTGCAGGGAGGTCAATGAAAAGAAATTGTTAGGGGGAAGAAAAGTGCAATAGGACCAAGAAAGGGATAAGATGTGTGTGGATATAGCGTGCCTACTATTTTTAAGACAGCACAGGTGAGTCTGTTCATTGAGAAATACCTGTGAGAAACACCATTCCCGGCAAAGCTAGCAGCTCTGCTTTTCCAGATCCAGACAGTAAGTTTTAAAAAAACCCTAACAGCTCACAAAATGGTTAATAGCCCCTGTTTAGAAAATGTGAATGCAGCAGCACTGGAGAAGAGATAAAAAGATAATTCTTGCTAGTGACTGGGTGTTCTAGTATCCCAAGTAAGCGATGAAATTCCCACAGCATACGTGGCTTCCCTAGCTTGTGTGGTTTGTCATACAGCCACTCGTCTTTGTGTCTGTACTTAGTAAACCACTCCAGGCAAGCGTACCCTGCTTTGTTGGAGCTCTACTCTGAATCCATTTGGCTTGAGCTACTTTCTCATGATCTGACAAAAATCTGCTACCCCATACTTGGGGAAAACAGTTTAGATTAAGCAGATTTGGCAGTATAGAAATATCCAGTAAGAAGTAAACATATGTGTATATATATAGATGTATTTTAATCACTGCAAGTCTATACGCTAACCTAGGCACAATGTGCCCCAGGACTAGACAACTCATCCAGCTAACGAGGTTAAGGAATGCCACCATCACATCCAGACACCTTTGGTTCCTGTTACAACCAGCTACCTACCAAGTTTAGTGAACCTTTGCCTATGTATGGATTGAGGCTCTGGACAGATAATGAAATGCTGAACTTGCTCCATATTTTTGTCCCAGAAAATTGCATCATGCTTACATAATTGTAGTCTGCAGGCCTGATTAAACCTGTTCACGTGAATGGTTCCAACAGCAGTCACTGAACTTTAGAACAGACTGCATAGCAAGGACAGACACATATTTAAAAAAATTAATTTCCTCTATTCCCTGAAGGCTTCACAGCTTCATGTCTATGAAGGTTATTAGCTGGTAGGACAAGTTACAGACCCACGTGTAGTCTGGGAAGTGCCAGTATTTTGATTACTCTCAGTATGACTGTGGCCCCAGGAGTCAAAGCATACTGATATGAGCAACTATAAAAAGGAGCTCTAGAGCTTGCTGCATACCACTGCAGCCGCCTGGAGAATCAACATTACCCATGGAAATCTCTGCAGAAAGGTCTTTGCACTCAGCTGCCATCCTCCAGCTGCGTCAGAAAAGAAGGCTCAAGGCTGTAAGTGACAATGCTGGAAACAGCAGGCAAAGAGAAATGATATGGTAGTGAAAAACACGGCAAAATTATATGTCAGCAGTGATATGGAAAAAATACTTGAACATTACTAGCAGGAAGGGTTCCTAAGACAAGGATGTCCTTAGAAAAAGGTCAGTAGCTATCACAGACCAGTAACCCAAAGGTGTGGAATTGAGTAAACCAAAAGAGAGGTTCATAGTGGTTAATTACTCGATGAATCTAGCGTAGGTCAGGCTGCAACTTTGTAAAACGTTTCTTATTTCAACAGACAAAATGAAGTATTTTCTAAATGGCTTTGTTCTGTTGTTTTTTTGTTTTTGTTTTTCCTTATCTACTTGAATGATCATGAGGGGTATGCTGAAAGCACTTTAAATTCATGCTGATGATGTTTACTTTCCTGGCTGCATGAGTACAAGGCTTATAACTGAACTTTGAAATTTTGCAGGGAAAGATGACAGACAAGATTGGAGAATATTAACTTCTTACTTCTCCCATCCCCTTTTTCTTTCTTGTCCCTATTTGTGAAGGTATTGTGCCTAGCAAATCCAGCAGCTTCAAGATCTACTGATCAGGGATGGGGTTTAACCTGGATGTTCTCTGGCTGTCTACTGTGATTTTACATTTGTGCCTGGTAGGGAAAAGTGAAGGCAAACCTTCTCCTGGCCTTCAATTGCTTCTGTGTTAGTCCTGCAAGGACTCTCATTTCAATCATCTCGAGACATATCATATTCCATAAGGAGCAGGCAGAGTTATCATTACAGGTATTTAAATACAATCATTGCATGTAAATACATAGTGTTAGCTGTGAATAACTTCTATTTTACTTAATTGTCCCTATGCAGTTAAGGGTTTCTCTAAAGATCACACATTAAGGAAAAAAATCCTTAAAGTAATGACAGTTTGGTGTGAAAAGAAGAAGGTATAACTACCCATTCAGGAGGAGACATCCATTCCTCACATGGAATAAGGCAGGAGTTTTCCAGGAGCACAGATAATCTTAAATTTCTGTAATTAAATACTATTTCATAATGCATAGGTACAAGGGCACCGAGTTTAGGTCAGATCAGCAAATTCCCTTTCTGTAAGTTCCCAGCTTTGGAGCTTTGAACTCTGCAAAGTTAACGTGCTCCCAAGGAGGTCGTTCTTCACTGTAGCTTTCTGCATGTTTATTCCTTACACATTTTTCAAACTCACAGGCTGAAAGAAAAATAAGAAGTTTTGTGAAAACCCAAACTTGGGTTTGACAGCAAGAGCGGCTGAAGCTTCTTTCAACTGCAGGGTTATCACAACAACCATCTGTACAGATATGCCTCAGTATTTACATGTAATCAAGGTGTCGGCTGAAGTATCATGTTATTTTTAAATTCCTTTGAAAGGTAAGAAACTTTGATTGCAACATCTAGGATCAAATTATGACTTCTCTCTGCTTACTTTGTCAGGCTACAAATTATATCACATGACTAGTACTGGAGGAAACATTCAATTCCCATTTCGTGTTAATTTGCAGATAAATGTCTCCCAAACACTAATGTTATCACTAGCTGATACATTGTAAAAATTGCAATTATTTAATTTAAATTTCATTTTTTTTATTTCAGGTATTGCTGACACTGTTCTTTCCTGTCTTAAAGAAATCAAATCGAGGAGGGA